TCCCGCCGGAGTGCGCCGGGCGCGGAGTAGCGCGCGCCTTTAAGACTCTTCCCTGAGACTCCGCCAGGTGGTGTCACGCCCGACCGGCCCGCGAGCTCCTCGCCCTCGAGGCCACCCGGCGTCCCTGCCCGCAATCGGAACCCCAGCCACTGGCTCTCCCCGGCTCCTGGGGGATCAGTGGGGGTGGGTGGGGACAGGACGGATATAACTTGGGAAGCACTTTTATCCGAGAGAGATCGCCCAGCCCACCTACTCTACCTTTGGCTGGCCTAGAGGATTGGAGGAATCTATTTCTCAACCAGGTGCTGGGGGTGGAGGTGGAAGAAGAGAAGACTGAGAAGTCTTGCCCAAGGACCTGCGCGTAGGTGCTTATTGTCATCACCTCAGGATAAGCCTCAAGTCGGGGCTAACCGGTCCTCTCTTCTCACCTTTGGTCCGAGATGGCCCGCTGAAACGCCTCCCCCAGTTATCATTAAAATAACCGAGGATAAAATAGAACTGTGACATAGGGAAATGAGTCATTCACACTCCCAGAGCGCGGAGCAGAACTTTAGGAAGACACCAGTGAAGGAGGAAGGAGATTCTTCGTATTCATCAGGAGACGGCAGCGCTCAAGTGCTTGCTGCAAGCTCCAGGCTGGCGCTCCAGTTCCAAAGCCAAGAGCCACCTGCGAACCCTCGGTGGAGATTGGGCAGAAACTGCAGCTCTAGCTTCCGGCCACTATTCAACTTTAACATCCTGGGCTTTTCAAGGATTATTTTTGACATTGGTATTGAGATCTCAAACTGCATTGATTATTAACTGATATTTCAGTCTTCTTTGTTTATTGCCACTTCTTTTATGTAAACGTTTTCCTCATGCCTTTCTTTTGGTTACTTTCTCACAACCCTGGAATGCTACTTGGAGTAACCTTTAGAGGGAAGGAAGGGTTTTTGAAGGTTGAACTTGAGTCTTTCCACTGTCTTGGTTGTCTGTGAAGATATAGGATTCTATAGGATCATGATCCTTTTATGCTCAACAGCTCTAAGATGGGAGGCAATTCACTTTCAAATTCTCCTTACTTGTCTAGATGGGCTGTCTGCTGAGTCTGTTTTCCCCTCCTCCCTTTTTCCCCTTTCCCCACCTTCAAATACATTATTTTCTTTTATTTAAAAAAACCCTCTGTAAAATGGGCACCATACTAGCACTAAAAATGAGAGCCAATAAGACATAGTAGAGAAGCCATGAATGTAACAATTTATGGTCATGGTATCAGGTATTGATTCAGTCACTGACTTCTGGTTTTATGGTACTCTCAGGATTTTTTCTCTCGGTTTTTAGATTAGACCTTTCATCCTTTTTCTTTTCTCTATCTTACCATTTCTTCTTTTTATTTATTTCTCTGTGTGTGTGTGTGTGTGTGTGTGTGTGCGCGCGCACGCACACCATAAATAAAACCCAGGGCCTTGTATTAAAAGTGCATGCTCTGCCACTGAGCTATATACCTCTGTCCTCTAGTTTACTTTCTTAAAAAAACAAGCAAACAAACAAACAAACAAAACCTACAGGTGCCAGGGATTTAGCTCAGTGGTTCCACCACCTGCCTTGCAGGCGCAAGGTCCCAAGTTCAATCCCTGGTACCAAAAAAAACCCCAAAAAACAAAATAACCCCCCCAAAAACAAACTATAAGTTCCATTAAATAACAAGTTAGATTTATAGTAACATGGGTTCTGTCTCTATCACAAACTGTGACCTTGAGCTAGTCGCATATCCTCTCTTCACTGTCACTTCTTCTATAAAATAAACAAATGAGGCCACATGACTGCTGTGATCTTTCTTGGCTCCAATAATCTGGGATTTTTATTAATTTAGAATTAAAAAACCATGACCTGCATTACAATGAAAAGAAAGCCACTTCACAATGATTAGGATGAATATAAGAGAAAAGGTAGATAATTACAATGTTGAGGATAATGTGGAAAATTTGGAACCTTCATCCATTGGTACTGTCAGTATAAATCAACTTTTACAGACCTCAGAAAAATCTGGAGTTCTTCAAAAAGTTAAACCTGGAATTGCCATATAACCCAGCAATTTGTCTTAGAATATATCTAAGAGAAATGAAAACATACCCACAAAAAAAACTTATATACAAATGTTTCTAACACGATTATTCACAGTAGACAAAAAGTGGACATAACCCAAATTTTCATCAACTAAAGACAGGATAAATTGTGGTACATCCATACAAAGGAATATTATTCAACCATTAAAAGAAATTAGTATTGATACATGCTACAACAAGGATGAATTGTGAAAATGTAATGCTGAATGAAAGAGTCCAGTCACAAAAGACATATATTATCACTTACTATGAAATGTCCAGAATATACAAATCTGTAAAGACAGAAGACTCATGATTGCCTAGGGCTGGGAAATGGAGTCAGTAGTAGGGGAAAGGCAGTGACTGTCAATAGGTGTGAGGTTTATTCTGAAGTGATAAAAGTCAATTGTTATGATGGTTGTGCAACTCAGTGAACATTCTAGAACCCACTGAATTGTATATTTCAAATGGATGAGTTGGATGGCATATAAATTATATCTCAATATAGTTGTTGTGTTAAAAAATATTATTTCAAGCCACGCATAGTGGCCCACACCTGTAATCCTGGCACAGTGAGAGGCTGAGGCAGGAGGATCACAAGTTTGAGACCAGCCAAAGTGATATATTGAGACCGTCTCAAAATATAAATAAATAAATACAGACGTAGCTCAGTGAAAAGGCCCTAGGTTCAACCCCCCATACTGCAAAAACAAACAAACAAACAAGCTCTCATTCCACTGAATACATTTCAGGTCTGGGCTAAGTACTGACTACACCCATGTGAACAAGGAGATGTGGGCCTTGCTCTCCTGAATCTTACAGCATAGTCGGGGGGTATCATTCCCAGGCCCAGTGATCTGCCAAAGTAACAGCCTCCTCACTATTTAACACAAAGATTTCCATGGTCCATATATGGTAAGGTTTTTTTTGTTTCCTATCGCCTAAGAGATATCGACTTTCTATTCTCTCTGTCTTTGCGTATAGACTCAGTACAATAAGTCCTGACAGGAACATTCAAGTTGCAAACTTTCACAGATATGAACAGATCTGAATTATGAACATTCCTAGATGTGACCATGGAAGTAGCTCACTTGTCTGCCAGACACTGTCACAGTTGTGTTGCTGTGTGCTCACTGTACAGTGCCATAGTGTACACTAGTACAGTACAGAGACTTACTATATTTTTGTGTGTATGTTTGTTTTTTTAATGCTTTACATTCTACATTCATGTCCCAGGTGTGTAAGACTCACTTTGTTGGACTTCTGAATGAATCCAATTTAAGAATATTCTCTGAGGAGCACTGGGGATTTAGCTCAGTGGTTCCACCACCTGCCTCACAAGTGCAAGGTCTCAAGCTTGATCCCTGGTACCCCTCCCAAAACAGAGAATGGTCTCCTGGAACAGAACTTGTTTGTAAGATGGGGACTCACTGTATAGTCAGAGAGCAGCTACAAGTCCATAGCAGAGTGACTAAGAGCATCAATCTTAAAGCCAAGCTACCAGACTTCAAATCCCAGCCCTACTTTTACTAGCTACTTGAGGAAGGTCAAGACACTTACCTTCTCTGTGCCTCAGTTTCCACATATACAGAACGAGGTAACAGATTTTATGAGCATTTAAATGAGTCAATATTTGTAAAGTGATGGCGTGGAGTAGCAGACATTATTCATGCAAATCCAGGGCACAGTTGGGATAAAATGGCAGCTCTACTCCAGGTACCTGCTGTCATGCAACCAACACACTGGAGCTTGCGTCAGAGTTTTCCTGTGGCACCATCCTCCATTTTACAACATAGATTCTTGTAACACCTCCTTATCATCCTGAGCCGAAATTTATAGATGATATAGACTGAACTTCCCATAACTTCCCCCATATCAATTTAATGCCTTGCTAGTAATATAAAGAAAAAGTCACAGATAGTAAAATAATATTTACTGTGTAAAGGCTTGAGCTCCACTCATTAAGATGACACAATAAAGTAGACAAATGCTTGCATGTATTTGTGGAATTACCAAGAAGACCACAGTAATAAATGAGGTGGGATAGAGGTGAGTTGCATTTGTGATTCCAAAACCTTGAGCAGCGTTGCCCCAGACAACACAATTTTCTGAAGCAGTCAACAGTTTAGTCACATTGCCATTCTGGAAATGTTAG